ATGCCAGAAGCTCTGCATAGCAATTTGCTAATACTATGATATGGGGGTATGGTGGTGGTGGTGACTCCCCCTTCCAGATCCCAAAGCATAGCAACAAGTCTAGTTCCTGGCATTGTAAGTCATCTAGCTCGTTATGCAAGGGTGGGACCAGAACATATCCCAGATGGTGACTCACACAGAGAATGGAAAAAAATAAAAAAAATAAAAAAATAAAAAAAAAAAAAAGAAAGGAGTTGGAAATGGCATCACCAGCAAGGAGAGCAGGCAGTGTCACAACACACCTATTTGTAAGAAGTTCACCTGGTCTTTCAGGACTCATCTGATGGCAAATCAGACTTTCTTACCTTAACATGGCATGAAATAACCCCATCATCCCCTCAGTCCCCAGGGGAGACAGAAGAGGAAAAGTTAAGACAGCAGTAGCTTCCCTTCCCAAATACACACATACTGTTAGGCAGGTAAGAGAAAGGGGAATCAGGAGAAGGAGCAGTACAGAGCAATGCTACACTCTGCATGGTGTTTTCCTCCACCTCTCCAAACTAGTGGGAAAGGAACACATCTCTCCTCAGAACAAGTTTTTCACAGCCATAATTGGACTGGTGAACGTTTCAGGAGAGATTTTACAGCAGAAGCAAAAAAGCAGCATGAGAGCAGAAGAGTGCCGCAGATCTGCATTGCAGACTCTGCAGTTTCCCAAAGGGACTGCACAACTTACTGTTGCCAAACTGCAGACTTCTACGCATCCATTAAAGAACACCCTTCTCACTCTCTGGACATTATTTAGCCTACTTCAGGTCTCAGGAAGAGGAGGCAGATTTTGTCAGTTTTTATATAAAAAGATACTAATATCTGTCAAAGTTGGAGAGGCTTAATGAGAGAAAAGTGACTCCCACAGATCTTGGAATTCCCAAACACATAGGCAAGCTGCAAGAAGCATATATATATATATACACACACACACACACACATGCATGTTGCTCAATATCCAGTAGAGTTCTGCCTCTGGGACAGGTGGTCAGGTTTTTAAAAACACCCACATCCAGGCTTTGTCTCACACCCATGTATTAGCATATGCTAACAGTCCAGCATCTTTTACAGATGTTTTTTGCTAAAGCTGCATCTCTTAAATACATTAAGATAAGCATCTTTTCATCTCATGAGTTAACAATAAACGCTTTGGACTGTATCCATAAAACGACAAGCCAGCACTACAGTACTCAAGCTCTTTGGAGGTCATTCCTTCTGAGAAACTCTTAAAGACTCAATAGGTCAGTTAGAAGAAAACCATCATAAAAATTCTTGTAAAGCTGATGTGCACTTTGTTAAAGAAACAGTGGAATAATATGCCAAATAGCCAATTTACTGTATGATATAGAGCAAAATGTAGTTGGAGAAAAATCCAACAAAAACCATTATGCTTTATGCCCAAGATGCCACAGGTTCACTATATGCTCCCAGACAAGTCATTTAACACACCTCATTCTTCTTCTTTTGAATTCCACCTGCCTTGCACAGAAACCAATTGCAGTCCGTGGATCAAAATCAGCTGAACTTTTGATCAAAATGCTTCCCATCACTTAAGAACAAAGATAGCCTCCATTTCTTTGCAGGATTATATCTGCTGATTTTTTGTGTTCCTGTAGGTTTTTTTGCCTGACAGCTCTTCTGTTCTCTTCCTATCATCAATTTTACTACCAGTTATTCTCAAACCTGATAGGTTTCACGTACTGATGATCTATTTCAGTGCTCCCAATGACTTACACAGATGTTTTGATCATTAGCTTATAGATGCAGAAAAAAATGAAAGAGATGTTAAGTCATTTGCCTGAGGCCATGCATGCAATCAGTGACAGAGGGCAGAAATAAAGTAGAACAATACACAGATATGTAAGCTATGTCAGGAGCAGGTGGCTACTATAAAATTTTTCTGCAAAGCATCAGAAGTTAGGACCTAGCCTGTAGCCTTCCTTTGGACACAGCATAAAACAAAGACTTAGCTTAGAAGAACATATGCATTAAAAAGGCATATTCGTGAAATGAATAGTACTTGTCACCACCATACCTTTTCTGGCAATTTTCATATGTGCCAATCTAAGTCTGTTAAAACACCAGATGGCACAGAAAGATTACATTACAGCCTAGGATTAAAGGAGTCAACAGGAGGTCCATGACCCATGACCTCTGCCTGCTGCAGGGTTTTTGAACAGAGGGCTGTTTTAACATGGTACTCTGTTCCTGCGCCCTCTTTCCTCATTTCAGGTTGGAAACAGTTATCTATTAGGGGTTTGAAGGGACAGTTACTTCTTAAAAGGTAACAGTAACATGAAAAATGAAAGTAGCTTTCGAAGAGAACACTTTTCCCAGCTTCAGTTAGAGAATTTAGTTTACGGGACCATGAAGCCTATTTTGTTAAGTCAAGTTCCCTTTTCACAGAAGTTTAAAGGAAATTATTATTGTATTTATTTAATAAGAAACAACTACTCAAGCTCTAGACATAAATACAAACAATGCAGATTACAATTACAATACAGAAGACAACCATAGCTTGGCTTTATGGTTACAAACAGCACACTTAAAACTAGGAGCTAACCAATTCACACAGCTCCAGATTCCTAATTCTCAGCTCTCCAGCAATGCTACTAAACCAGATGAACCTTGACCTGGGAAGCAAGGACAGACAAACAAACATAAGCAGAAGGGGAAAGGGACTACTCACAGACACTAACATGCCTTAAGTTAGACAGTATTAGAAAACTCTTCACTCCAAATGCTGCAGCTTCTAAAGGAGTAGTACAAAGCATGGATTTAACAACTTGGCTCTTTGCATTTATTATTTTGACTCCTAAGCTGTAACCAGAAAAAGTTCTTCCAAGATGCAGATGCAGCTCCTTCAAAATCCCTTCTCGGGGATTTCCTCCCCTCTTCTTTTTTTTCTACTATAAACCTTTTATATATATATATAACCAATTATAAAACACACTCCTCAGCCACCTAACTTCCTGCCAGCAGTCAGTAATCTACTACACCCAGAAGGTAAGTCCTTTAGAAAGGAGTTTATTTCTGCACCTGTGGAATCTAACGTCCTTCCCCTGCAACTGTGGAATCTAATTTCCATCCCTGCTTGCTCCAGTCGTCCATTGCCTCTTGTAGAACAACAGCCAAGGGAACCTGGATGAGTTAACAGGTGTAGGCAGGAGGACCAACTTCTTTGCACTATTTGTAAACTAACTACAGAATTAATTGTCAGTGAAAGCCAGAAGCTTGATAAAATTGAAGAAAGTGTACAGACAAATTCATGGAAGAATATCGCCTTAAAAACTGGCAAAACAAAGAGGCTACGTCGGACTTAATTGGCCTGTGAGCTGCAGATCACTGGTGTTGCTAGCCTATACAGGGGAAGTGCCACCACATGCCCTTACACTGTTCCCTTGAAATCACCATTAGCTTACTGTCTTGAGACACGATGTGGGTTGGAGAGGAAAGACATTCTCTGGCACCCAGGATAGCCAAATATTTTTTTTTTTGAACCATTCACCAATTCTCTGTACTCCCTTAAAGAACAAAGGATGGTTTCTTGACCCCTCATTTTGAGCAGGAGCTTTGGTCAAAAGGGGCCACTACATGGCAACAGCATAGTGGCACATTCCTCAAAAGATAGAAACAGAGGTCATACCAGGGCTTCTAAATTTCCATTTAGACCACCACATGCAGTTAATTTCACATTTCTCAGTATTTGTTCCAGCTTTCTAATCCTCACAATAAAGTCATATATGAAGCTGTTGCTTTCCAGAGGATGTCCCATAATGCTTTCTGGGCTTCATGCTGTTTCCATTTGAGTTAGTCCCAGCCTCCTTTATCTGACTAATACAGGACTCATTTACTCATTCTCCTACAAATAAAGTTATTGCATTTTTAATTAATTCTACTGTTGCAGTGCAGCATTCCTCTTCAGAGAAAACTCAGTGCCAACAGATACTAGACATTTAGTATCAAAAGCTATTAAAAGGGTGTGAGAGATGTGATAACACGGTTTATCAATTCTAAACTCAAAACTGTAAAAAGGAGCCCACATTTACTTACATTTTAAAATTGCTTTTTCAGGTTTATATTAAAAAAATTATGGTGAAAGGAATCTCGAGGAGGTTTTAGTTTTGTTTTTTGTCCTACAGTGTCAAAACCCAACAACATACCTTCTAAATGCAGAGCAGGATACACTGTAAAGCAGGCCAGAAACGTATCCTAGAGTCTTTATTTAGACAAAGTACGCTTGTGGAAAGTATAGTTTTCTACTTGCAACTTACTTACCTAAATCGAGAATTCATTCAAAAGAACTACCAGATAACGATCGATAAGGGTTTTGACTGATAACATACCATACAGTTGCTGCAACAACTTGAGAGAATTCAATTTTCCATGCTTCTTCAACTCTCTCAGTTGCAAACTCAACATGTTACAACTTAAAACTTTAGAAATAAAGTTTATGGAAATCCAGAAGCTTGCAAAAAAACTTTAAAAGTCAAGAAATCCAAAGAGTAGATATTGCTAGAGCAACCTTTCTTTTCTGGATATACCATATGCAACAAATACATTGTGCAGGTCATTTTGCATTTATTTAATTGTATAATAATTTTTTGTTTATCATAATGGCCAAACCAGAAGATAATTCTTTTCAGCAGGTCTGACCCCTGCACAGCCTCCCACAAACAAGGACACCTAAAAGTGAGGCTATGAAACAGAATTTTTGCATACTAGAAGTCATTACCTTTTGTACTTAGCTATTACAAAAATTCCTTCAACATACGCCAATACCAGTCCTCAATGTCATTCAGCTGAGTACAAGGGCATTCTATTTTGCACATTTGTTACACTTGGCTAGATATTGGTTTTAAACAAAGCTATTAACAGAAGTATTCTAGTGACTGAAATAGCAAGTGCACAGTATTGGCAAAGGTGAAAGATAGGCGACTACTATAAGGCAAATAAAAACCTACACACAGAGTTGTTCTACAATATCAGCCGTTGTAAGGTGTAAAACTCAAACCTACCCTTCTCACTACCACCCCTGCCATGTACATAAGCTTTTGAGTAATACTACCCATGAAGAGTCATGTTGTAGACAGACATTTTTTGAAATGTTTTATAAATATTAAATGTATTTAGACTATAACACGCGTTCATTACATTTTCAGGAACATGTTCTAATCTGTAGATGAAACTTGCAACAGCTGAGAGAGTCTCAAGTGTCAGCTCTGCTGGAAGATGAGGTTTAGTACATGAGCTAATCAACAGTGTTACAGAAATTAACAAGCATGTGCACTTTGATTTTAACTTGAATGCTTTCCAAAAAATACACAGTTCAAATCTAAGCTTCTGCAATGCAATGTACTGATAATACGTTTGCCAGAAGTCAGCAAGACCTCATGAAGCCAAACATGGGTAAAGGAGACAAAGAGTTGCCTCACCAGTATGAGTGAAGTGCAACCACAGTATATGCTGACAAATCTTACTTGCTTTGATCTAGCTAGAACACTACACCTTTACTGTGGTTAACCTGGTATCATAAATTTCAGCAAGGTCTAGGAACCAAAGTATGTATACAAAGTTTATCCTGGATTGTACAACCACAGATGAAGCCAAGGATGGTATCTTTAAGACTACCCTCACCTGTAGCAGTCAGATGAAAGTTAACGCAGATATACTCATGCACTTTGATTAAACCTGCTATGCGCAACGTAGTCAAACCTGAAGCAATCTGTGAGAACATGACGGGATACAGTCATGACTGACAGCAGAACTTTGAAAACACTGTTTTCAGACAAGACTTAAACCTTCACGTAGTGCTATACATTACACACATTCATATACAAATACAAAAAAGAAATACTCACCCTAACTTCATAAACATTATCTGAATAATCCACAGTCTGGCAGACATAGCTGTACCCTCGAGCTCTTGATGACAAAAACAGCTGAAAATATTAAAAAGTCATACATGAGGGGAAAGATGTTACATAAAACATGTTCATAACAATTATCAGCAAATTTCTTGCTACATCAAACTTACCTGAACAGAAATATCTAAAACATCCTTATCAGACCTGGCAATATTATTGAAGAAAGCCAATATTTAGTTCTAAAAATCTGTTGCTACACAGTACCCATTTTTTTCTTGTAAATTAAAAAGAAAGTACTCATTTTTCCCTTCATGTATCTGCCCAGATAACTAGAGCCCTGTACAAATTAGTAAGAATTCCAGTATGACCTGAAGCTATTTAAACATAACTATTCCCTCTGACAGCTCTACCTTCAGAGACAGAAAATACCCAATTGCTTTCACTAGAAATGACAGAAACACTATTCCCATGATGGATTAGAGAAAACTCTCTCCAGTAGACAGGGATTAGATCATTTGGATCTACTATGCTTAAAACAGTATATCAATCAAAATCCAGAAAAAAAAACCCTGAACAGCCAATGCCGAGCACCCATAAAACATATTGAGAGAAACTGGATGAAGAAAAGTTACCCATTTTGCGCCAACAGAAACAGCCTAAAGCACATGAAGTGCTCCTGTAGGGCCGCTCCAAGTAAAGCACCTTGCAATAATCTGAACAGGAGAAGATAAACTTGACATCTGAGCAAGTTCCCATTGGAAAGAAGAACACCTGCCTAGAGCTGTTCAAGTAAGGTTCAAGTACAAGGTTCAAGTAATACTTCTAACCTTGACATTCATAAATGTTATGATCCAAGATTGGTTAAAGTCAGGTAATCCCACCCCGTTAAGGATCAAAAAAGACAGCAGTGGAGCAGACGTAATCTGTAAATTGTGAGCTGCAAAAGTAAAGAAGGGTGAGATAAAAAGATCTCCAAAATAAACATGGGTAGGCACTGACTTTTCTTACCGCTAACCTGACTTCCATCTCATTTAGACTGAACTCGAGTTTACTTTGGTATCTCAACTTGCACACAGCACTAGGAGTGCAGACAGATGCAGAGACCAAGTGTTATCCAGACAAAACCAACATACTCCGGACTTACTTGCTGCACATGTCTGTCAAGGAGGGAAGTAAAAGAACCGTCCACAGAAATGGTCCTAAGAAAGAAGTTGAACTACTTCTGCATCATCCAAGTCTATTTACAAACTGCTGTAACTTCACTACTCTCCAGTGTGGTCCCACACAGGCACGAGCACATTTGATAATATCAGAGAAGAGCAGGGAACAGTTTAGTCCGCACTGTTACAGAAACTAACCAATCTCTACTGTGACCCACTAGGTAATTTAACCAAGGTGCACTTGGCAAAAGGCAGTAAATTGACTCCAGCAGACTGCCTCAAAGTAGAATAAGAAATTCAAGATTTTCTGGCAAAATACTCATCTGGGACTTCTGCATGCTCTAAGCAAAATTTGCTCCTAATTTGAATCTGAACTTGAGTCCAACCAATGGGAGTCTTGGACTACACAACCTAGCATTGCTTTATGGAGTTACCATTTTAATGTGAGTTATCACAGATAAACAATACAGCTTGCCATCAGGATGATTCTTTAAATAATGTTTAGAGACATTTCACATTCAAATTCTGTTCTCAGCAATGACTGTAAAGTTTCCAGGTATTCACAAACACAGACTGTGTATCATTTTACCCATAACAATTACATTACTCATGCAAATTACAACAGTGGCACACTGGTATTGTAAACCTCATGTAGATTGAAGCAGAAGTTGCCTGGCTAAAGGGAACAATTGAAACTTCAACACCTTCCTCCTATCACTCCTTTAAGACTAAGAAAAAAGACACTTTCTGTAAGTGTTGTATCCATAGCCTTAACATCCATGGAATGACAACCTACCATTTGAAATAGCAGGAAACTAGAACCTCTGCCTGCGTCTAAAATTATGGGCTTTCAGCCTATCAGCAGCAAACGCGTATTTGCAGTCCCATTCATTTTTATGTTAATTCAGTGATTTGGAAATGCCATGCAAATGCATGTGTGATCCTGTAAACAACACAGGTTTGCAAATTAATTGACCACAAGTCTGGTATAAGTCAGCTTATGGATGAAACAAAGCAATTTAAAAGAATAAGTGAAAGAGACAGACATGGCAAAACCACTGCAGAATTCATTTCTGAGGAGTTTCAGTTTTAACCTGCCAAGATGATTTGATTTCATCCATTCCCAGAACTACCCTTGGACTTCAGCATTAAATTCCTTTATACCTGTAGTATTTTACTACGTAGCTGAATAGTGCAAGGAAACAATTTAGACAAAATGATGACTGAGGTGTGATGGCTAAAATTTTACTGAACCATGTCTTAAAAAAAGGCTGAAATCAATTAATGATTTCATTATAGAAGCTCTGGGGAAGGGTCAATATGCAGATCATCATCAGATATGCCATGCTTTCCTGTCAAAAGCACAGAACAGACCAGCCAGAAAAGGAGTTTTGCAGTGCTGTAATTTTAACTGCTGTGTTCATTTGCTTACTTCTGGAAACAGATTTTCCAAATTTATGATCCAATGTCTTCCAGGAAGAAGACTCTCAATCCACATGAGCAGAGTCACAGCAGCATAAACTACTCCTTAGTATCAACTATATTCTGGACAGCTATCCCTGAATAATGATTACCAAACTGTTAAAGTAATCCCACTTAGCTACCGCTAAAGAGCTGATCCACTGCATTGTTACCAGTAATTTCCTCTGTACAGAAAGCCTAACAAAGGAAAAATGCATCAACACTGAAATTTATTAAAAATTACCACACTTGGAACATTGGAAACCAAATACTAGAAGACTGTTTCCTTTCATTTTTATTTAAAGGTACAGTTCACTTCATTTTTATTCTTATGTAAAAGGTAACTTACAAACAAGATACTTTTCCTCACTACAGACAATGGACATCCAAATTTCTAAAAATGATAAATACATTGAAGGCACCAACAAACAGCTCAGTTTCTAACAAGATGCATTCTGACAACCTTTAAGATTATTAAAAGGAAAAAAAAAATCAGTTACAAGTGTTAAATCTCTAGTTTTTAGTTAATCTGTCCAGTATTTATACTAACATAAAGCTAAGTAGTACTTGGAATAGCTACTTCACAAATTCTCTGTAGACTCATTTAGTGCATTTATTCTCAAACAGAACATACCTAGCTACAGAAAATGCTTACATCAAAGGCAAACTCAGCTTAAAAGGTCTGTGCAAAACATTCACCCTCAACAGACATCATGAATATGTAAGATTATTTTCATTTTGCCATCTGTAGACACCCTCAAACTTAAATAGGAATTCCCTCCTGCAAGAGGGCATACACACCTCTTTGAAAATGAAGAAGTTGAGTAGAACCATTCCAAAGTTGTAAACAACCAACAGGAAACGTAACTGGAAGGGCTCTCTTGTCTTCATCCATTTGGGGCCCAGCCAGACAGTGAGGAGATAAATAGTGCTTATAGTCAGTGTTGGAAATGGAGACTGCATCAAGGGCCAATCATCAACACGTTTGTCTGGGGGGGGGTGAAGCAAACAGAAGGAATCAACAAGGTCTGAACAAAATATATTTCATCAGCATGTTAAGCATTGCATTTGTTAAGTATTATTCTCCCCTTGGAATAGCTGCATCAGATAGTAGAAACACAATACACTCATTCTTTCTAGGAAGGTTAAAGAAAATAGTTTTTAAAAATACCACTATATCACATTACCTCATGCAGAGACTCATTATGTCATGCAAGTTCTATTGTCCAGTTCTACAATCCAAAACAAAGCAAACAGAATCACATGAGCCCAAGCCCAACCCACTAATCCCCCCCAAACTGATTTTGCTTATGATGAACAGTGACTGCAGCAGTAACATAACCAAATATTCAACTGCCAACAAAAGATGCACAAATTTGGCAAAATACTGATAAAATTAATAGTTTTTATTAGTTTAAAATGAGGCACTAAAAAGCCTCCAATTAATTTTATACAGATTGTATGATGCTAACCAAGTACCTCTGCTATTTGATGTAGGTCAATCTCACACGTTTCAGACAGAATACTAACAACGTTACTGGAAAACAGCTAAATAAAAGAGTTTAAAGGGATGGTTCTAGTTAGAGTAATCTGTGCAGCCATATGGGAGACAAAGGTTTTATTTACAGTCTCCTTCAGTCACTCACGGGATACAGAGTTACAAGTACTCTGGGGCCCAGAACATGCTATATTAAGTTCTGGGTCTGTATAAGAAAAGCACTCTCAGCCTGATGAGCCAGAGACATCTAGGATTAGAAGATGGTCCTGCTACAGAGAAGGGAAGGAAGAGACTACAGTGACACCTCCTTGCTTCCCCATTTGAAGGCTAATCTCTAGTTATAGCAAGAGATAAGAGGTAGCTATTCCATAACTATCAATACTTCAGATACTGCACAGCTTTACAATACTAACTGGATTATTTTCCAGATGCTTAGACCAGTTGCAGTTCAGATGGAAATCACACCACAGGGTTCCTTGGGAAGCTCAGACATCTAAAACATCTACCTTTCAGTCATCTGTGGGCAAACTCCCAAATAGCAATACAGTTGGGCAAACTCCCAAATAGCAATGCAGTTGCCCACAGACTTACCCACAGGACAAATTTCTTTTGGAGAACTGTTTTTCTTCATGGTAACCCAAGGACAGTGGAAAAAAAACTATACTATAAATTACAGGCATACTAACAGGTAAGTTAGAAAACCCTTCTTATCTACAAAATGAGGAACTCTGATGCAATGAGGAAACTACAGAACAGCACTGCCATTAGTCTTCCTCCACTTCTTTCTCATTTCCTTGGTTGTCCTTAAGATCATAAATGAGAACCTCATTTTAGGAGCAGACCCTCTATGTCTAATAAACACCGCATACTGTGATCTACAGAAAGACAGTGTGCATGGCACTGACTCTTCTTGCTTCCAGTTGATTTAACAATACTTGATCTGCACACCACAAGTAAGATGCTAAGAGGCCTAAAAAGAAGTGGAAAAGAAGAGAAACCAGCCTAGCTGCTTCCATTATGGCTGTTAATACCAGAAGGAGAAGTCATCCTAATGCATGGAAACCTCTGGCAAGGCTGATGCTGCCAGACTGATGGGAGTCAGCCTTGTGACCGCAGCCATCAACAGAAGCCAAGGGCAAGACAGGGCAAGGAGCACTGGGAGGAGTGGCAAAAAGTTCGGATAGATTGGCTGTAGAAAAACAGGCAGTGAGACAGAACTGAAGAAAAGCGAGAGAAGACAGTTAGTTACCTCTTACTTTTCAGCAAGTCCTTGTAATAGACAATTCTATTACAATATAGCGTACTCTGTAAAACACGAGAACAATTGCTTTATAATAAGTAGAGTGTCTTGGGATATAAAGGAATGGCCCCGTTTTCCAGACCTCACAGAATGCTACCTGAAGCTGAAACCACACTGCTGTGTTGCAATTATTACGTTATTATCTCCCTTACACTTTAGTTCCTGCTTGCTTTTGGCAATTGCTCTACCAATCTGAACTTAAAAAGAAAAGATAACACCGTTTAAAAGACAAGAGAAATGGAGAACCTCATCATCCACCTGATATGAAGTAATGGGCAAAGACTCATCTCCACCAAGCAAGTAGAAAGGTGTCACTTCTTAACTAAGAGACAGCTCTGGGAATAGCCAGTGTATGACATGCTTTAATAGAATCTGCACCTCGCTTCAGATGCTGTAGCGTGCAAAGAGTTAAGAGCAGGTGAGGCAAGAGACCTGGTTGCTTTCCCAGACTTCTTGCACTAAGGAACACGAAGAGGCAAGAACGTATTAGAGCATCAGTCTTCTATTTTCTAACCCAGTGTTTCATGGTATCCTGAATGCAAAAGTGACAATACGAAAAACATGAAAAAGGAAGAAGATTTGAATTTTACCCAGGAGCTGAACATAACTACCCACTGCTGAAAACAGGAAACCATGACCTATTCCAGACTTCTTTTTCTGCCAGGAGACAAAAGATTTCTAGAGGGAAGAATGAGGATTCACTAGAGGGTGAAAGGAAAGACAAAGGGACAACCTTTATTAAAGCCCAGCTGCAAATGAGCTTTGCCTCATGCTTCATCAGCACTGCACACAATTCTTTCACTTACTTTCCACAAATACTACAAATTGAAGAACTTAACTGGAGAAAAACAACAGAGATATTTAATTAACTCTGGCAACAACATAAGAGCACCTGGACAGCTGCCATTACACTTCCATACCTGTATCATGGTTTCAGCCGGTTACCTTCCCTCTGCTCACCACATCTCAGAGACAAGCCTTAAAGTATTTACAAGAAAAGCATAGCTTACTGATACAGACTGCATAACACACTGCCCAGGGAATCTATCCGATCAGGATTTTGGGGGCCGGACCTCTCCTAGGACAATTAATTACACTTGGAAAACAAAATGCCTGTATGAGAGGGCATACAATAGGCAATTCAGTTCTGGAGTACATCCTGGCCAAAATGGAAGCATATCAATACTCAAAACATTTATTCTAATTTCTACCGTGCTAACTAAGTACAACACCTTGCATTTATTTTGAGGGCGTTTAGGAGACTCTGCATACGATTATTTTTTAGTAATACTGTGGCATCAGAAGACATGCTGCTATTCATCCCAGAACTTGCTAGATTTAGAAACTTGATCATCACAAGATCTCTCCTGGATAATGCAGAGTAATTTGTTCAGTTTTAAAATCAGCTCCACACACCATTCTTATTGCACAGAAGGTATTACAAAACCAATTTAGTTTCAGTTTACCAAGGAGGCCTGCTTGTCCACTTTCTGTACAGAAAACACACAGCTACATGCAGACCCTTGTTCCAAACTTGTTCTCAGACACCCTCTTTCAAACCAAGATAAATTCACTCTCTTAAGTCATATGCTTAAGTGACAAACCTCCCAAGAGCCTCCAACACCTTCCTCCCTCGCACCTCCCCCCCCCCCCCTTTTTCCAAAAAAACAACCCATTTGTGTCCCAC